GTTAAGAGTTTTTGGTCTTCACAATGTAAAGCTGTTACTGCTTGCTGCTGTCAGCTCTGCACTAGATGCTGGTGTGGTCGCTGGACTAGACAGTGGAGTTTCTTGCTCTACAGGACACACTGTCAGCCTCATCTCTGTGATTACTGTGAACTAGAAAATCAAATGGGCTGGCTGTAGTGGCTCAGCCTGTAATCCCACCACTTTGGGAGGCCGAGGTGGGAGGATCACCTGCGCCCAGGAAATCGAGACCAGCCTGGGCAACACAGTGAGACCTTGTCTCCATTAAAAATAATAAATATCGGGAGGCTGAGGCAGGAGAATTGCTTGAACCCAGGAGGCGGAGGTTGCAGTGAGCTGAGATTGCACCACTGCACTCCAGCCTGGCAACAGAATGAGACTCTGTCTCAATAATAATAATAATAATAATAATAATAATAATAAATAATAATAAATAGGCAGGGCATGGTGGCTCACCCTGTAATCACAGCACTTTAGGAAGCCGAGGCGGGTGGCTCACCTGAGGTCAGGAGTTCGAGACCAGCCTGGCCAGTATAGCAAAACCCCACCTCTACTAAAAATACAAAAATTAGCTGGGCATGGTGGTGCACGCCTGTAATCCCAGCTACTCAGGAGGCTGAGGCAGGAGAATCGCTTGAACCTGAAAGGTGGAGGTTGCAGTGAGCTGAGATCGCGCCACTGCATTCCAGCCTGGATGACAAAGTGAGACTCTGTTCCCCCAAAAAATAAAATAGAAATTTTAAAAAATGACTAAGATTCCTAAAACAGTGTGTGAGAGATAAAGCTGAGTTCATTCTCGGGTGCATACATTGCACTGGACTTCACACGTGGGCTTTGGAAGAAACCTGTCTGCAATCATGCTGACCAGGAGGAAGCCGGCCCGGCTGACCCTGTCCATTTATCCGCCTGTCAATACCTGGGAGCTCTTGCCCATTCTCACACACATCCCACTAACACCCAGAAGGTCCGACACACCCTAACCAGCCCCTGGACCTGGCTGCTCACACACCTCCTCACCCCAGGCCATGATCGCCTGGCTTCCCCAAAAGGCCTGTCTCTTTTAATCCTCCATTTGCTCCTCCAAAACCGATCTTGTCACAACGACTTGGCTGTGCAGGAGTCTCTGGTACTCACTTTCTGGTTTTTACCAGCCATGTTTAGGAATAAAGGAAGGTCCTGGGCTAGTAACTTTAAATAAGTACCTGACTGTTTGAATGGTTTTGGAACCAAACCATCGGTTTGTTTTGTTCTCAAGTGCTCATCACAATGAACATTCTGATGGTCTCTTTGAAGGCTACAATACTAGCAGAGTAGGCATCAGCCCTTCAAAATGCATAACTGACTCAGTGGATCACAACTCCCAAGCTGCTTCCTCACACAGAAGCACCACACTGAATTTAATGGTCCAATAAAGAGGTGTGTTAAGGATATGAGGTTGGAGAGAATTCTAGTTTGCACACTGTACACGTGCAGCCTATGCCTGTAGTTTAAAAGTAAAATTAAAGTTTTACAGTGACCTGTTTATGTAGTTTGGACAAGGCCGATCAACTCCATGAGGGCAGGGCCACATCTCCCCTGTCCACTGTTGTATCTACTGCTCCCCATGGCACCAGGGACCTACAGGCACCGAACAAATGTTTGTTGAAATAGATGTCTAACTCAAGGTTATGAGCCATTCTGGGGCATCAGCTACCTAGCAATCCTCCTCAAAGAAACGAGAAAGTTGCTACATCTGACTTCCACTTTAGAGTTGGTTGATACCCACGCCATACCTGTGTATATAGGGACACATGTCTGCCAAATTCTGACAACTCCTATCTCCTTTCTAAACGGTTCAAATCTCATGTGTTGTTGTATGACTTGTGATTACTGTATTGTATTCATCTGGTTTCACTAGTTAAAAGTGTGATGACCACACAATGTATTGTGCAGGGAAGAGTAGGAGGCATGCTAGAGTGACAGGCATGCTAGAGTGACAGGCATGCTAGCGTGAGGTGACCTGGGACATTCAGTCATGCTAATTTTAAGTAATGTGATAAAGAATCTCTGCTTGACCAAAGTGAATTTCACCTACATATCTTGGGCCTAAAATAATAAAAATAATTTTGAGTAAATAATTTTGAGTAAAAGTTCAACGTGACAAAGACACAGCAGTGACCCTGTTCTATTTCAGGTTATACCATCAGAGGCACAAATGCTAATGGGAGGCAGGCTGGCAGATTCCAAAGGCACCACTACAAGATTGCTTAAAGATAAAACAATTTACCTTCATTGGAAGCAGAAAATGTGCTTTGGAGAATTACAAGATTTTTTCCATATAACTTTAAACTTTTCTCAGTAACCAGGCAAGATATCCGAGCCAGAATCTTTGAGCCAAAAATGTCCCTGTACAGTACCCTCATGGAAGTCAAATTAACAGGAAGATAAAAAGCCAGGACAACCGGATTCAACATTGTTAGTTACTGTAAAAAACGTCTATACCCATGTAACAAACCTGAGCATGCACCCCATGAACCTAAAAGCTGAAGTTTTAAATGGTAATAACAGACACTCAATAAATAGTTACTAAACAAACTACTGAGTATAAATACATTTTCCAAAATGCTTTGCTGTTTATATTCAGTGGGTCTGTTCTTTGAGACACTTTGCTCTGTAGACATAATTCTTACTGTAAGGGAATATATTCCAGTAAAATTCATTATACCTCAAATTTCATTTTATTTTTTTCTCACTGATTTCAATTATAAAGTGGGATTTCCCCTACTGGAAAAATACATTGGAAGAAGATGACTGTGCCTAAATATCTCTCTAATATTGAGATGGATGTAAAGTTTTATTATGTCATTTCAGAGAAACAGGATCTCAGTATGTTGCCCACGCTGCTCTCAAAACTCCTGGTCTCAACCTATCTTCTTACCTAGGCCTCCTAAAGGGCTGAGATTACAAACATGAGACACTGTGCCTGGCCCCACTGAAATATTTCAGAATCTCAAATTTTCTATTCCTACATTCCTTAAGGAAGACATGTAAGGTGAAAAGAAATACCTTTTTTTTTCTCTGTTAAATTATAAGGAATATGAACACTCCAACCAGGCCATTTAATTTCAATTCAACAATATTCACTGAGAGCTAGACATGGTCATACATTTTGCTAAGCACTGGGGATATCAAGTTGCTACCAGTAATATCTAAAAATTAGCTCATGGATATACACAGCCAAACTGGCAACACTGGCTTCATAGGTTTCCAAATTGATAAAGGACTCTACAATAATCCGTGAATAAAAATTATCTAGCAAAGTAACAGCAAATACCTCTGACCATGACAATAGTTTCAAATATTAAGACAAAATTATTTATACGTGTAGAATTCCTTCACTTGCTCTGCTGTCATTAATTTGCAAACTTTCTCTCCTGATCATTCTCCAATGAATGATTTATTATTACTACTATTACTTAACATAATTCTACTTAAGAACCTACATATAAATGGGTTCTGCAAAAATTGTACCAAACATGTATCTTTAATTTCCTAGATTTCACAATTTAGCTAATTCAAATTTACAGCTGTCACTTTTATATTTTGAGTTTATACTGGAGAATTATATTGAACTGCATTAGAATATTTCTCATGCCCCTTAACCAAAATGTTATCAAAAGATACTGAACAAAACTGGATCCTTTTGTCTTTGCTCATTCACTTTATTCCTTGTTTAAAAGATACTGAATGCAAATGCTTTCAACTGAAAAATTTTTTAAAGATATGGTTTTCTCATATATTTAAATTGGCTACTAAACCCCAAATGCCAGATTTTGAAAGCAATTTCCCAAATGTCACATGCAGCTGACAAGTGTAGATTTAAAAATGAGCAAGATGACAAAGACAAAGCCTTGTAGGACACAGAGCACACAGGAGCTCTAAGGAGCTTTGAACTTGGTCCAAGAGACACAATTATTTGGGGAGAAGTGGGCCTACATGGTGAAAGCTGGTCAAGGTACACATGAGTTTTAATATGAGTTTTAGTTATACTAAAAATCTCTCTAGAAATTCAATCCAGCTGAAATCTAAGCTATAATCACTAGGAAAACTAAAAATGTTCCAGACTAAAAGAACTTACTGGGTAGACATTGGCCATACAAATGAGTAGAATATTACATTCTTTTAGTTTGTCAAACTTAAATCGATGATCTTGAATACAAATAGATTCTGTGTTTTACAGTCAACCAACTGTCCCCTTTTTAAAAATCTTTGAGAACATGGCAGAAGTGAAATCAGATGGAGAAGTTGGTTACATGTCAGCAAGCTGAAAGAACATAAAAATAGCTTTAAACATAATTTGGTTGATAAAATATTTTTCAACAAGGATTTCCATTCTTTAATTTGATATAACTCATTACAAAATCTGTGTATAGTCAATAGATAAATGCTGGATCCAGACCCACAGAGGATTTTGTAGGTCCCTATACACTTTTCCAGGTTATTAAGAATTCATCTCATGCTGAAATCTACAGACTTCATTAGCAAGATGAAGTATTATTTTAGGCAAACAAAGTGAAATAACTCAAAATCTGAAAAGACAAATGGCAGAGCCTGGGATCTGAACACAGAGTCTGTGGTTATGAAGAGAAATTCACATCACAGATTGTGAAGAAAAAGGACACAAGCCCTCAGTAAATTTCCATCACAGGGTCAGCTACAAACTGTCTTAATCCAAATCATGTAGAATGGATGCTAAGAACACGGGAGTTGCCATCACACTTCTCAGTTAGAACCCACCTTTTGCCCAAATTAGCTGTATAACTTGGGCTAAACTTCGTTTCCTCATCTGTGAAGTGAAATAGGGCCTATTCTCATGTGGTTGTTATAAGGATAAATTAATTTATGTAAAGCATCCACTATAGCAAGTACTCAATGCGTAGAAATTACTACAATTATTATACAGTATCACTGACACCACCACATGATCAGTAACGCCTTCAAACCTTTCGTAGCCACACTCCACAATACTGGGATGAGGAGAAAGAGAGCAAGCCGCCACTTGTAGATATCTAGAAAAGTCCAGCGAGGCCCAGGGCACAGGTGAAATCCATACACATTCTAGGCCATCGAGCCATCAGTCCATGTCCTGGCTCTGTTGTGATTTTAGGTTTCTAATTAGGGATGCAAGATAAAATACAGGATGCCCGGTTAAGATGAAATTTCAGACATATTTATATTTTTTTAATTATTCATTATTTATCTGAAATTCAAAAGTAACTGGGTGTCCTGTATTTCCATTTGTGAAACCTGGCAACCCAATCTCTAATGCCCCTTTTCTATCTAATCTCTAATGCCCCTTTTCTCCCGCTCATTCACTTATAAAGAACCCGAGGGAATCCTGTTTTATCTTCAACTCCCTGACACTGAGAATGTGATTTCTAGCAACAGAACAAACAGCACCATTCATTTGCAAAAGCTGTATTAAGTTTCCCCAAATTTCCAAGGAATTTTTGCCCTATCGTGTCATTTGACGCTTACTGTAAACAGCTGCTATCTTCACTCCTGCTTTATAGATGATGAAACCATGCAGGAAGGCGAGCTGTCATCATTTCAAAACTGTTGCTAATCTAAGTCCCCTACAATCATTTGCCACATTATCAGATTCCACATATCTTCCCTCAACCACGAGGATTTTAAAAAGATTTATTTTGTATTATGAAACAAAGCACGTTAAACGTGCTTTGCAAATTCCCTCCTCTTCTCCCCAGTTTGACATACTGAGTTCTTATTCATGGGCTGGAAAATCTTTCAACTGCCTTCTGGCTTTAGTTTTCTTTGGTCTATGACCCACAAAGTTGCTAAATCCCAAGGCCAATTCGTTCAAGAATCTCCAACAGAGTTTGTGCCTCCAGACTCAGCCTCACAGCCTGCTATTATTTGCCCTTCCTCTTGCAAGACAAATTCTACTATACTAAAAGAATGTGAAGGTTCCACGGAGCTTGGAGCCTCTCACTACAACCATGTTGCACATCACCTGCAGCACACAGTTGCATTCAGCATCACGCTCAAGGGTGTCCACGGCCGCACTCAGCATCACGCTCAAGGGTATCCAGGGCTGCATTCAGCATCACGCTCAAGGGTGTCCAGGGCTGCGGGGAGCTGCTTCAGCTCATTTACCTCCAAGTCACCTCCCTCCCTAGCACGAGTCACTTCTTCAAGGGCAATCTTGGCTTCTCTCTGCACAAGGCACCCTCCTTTTCCTCCAGAGAAACTTGTCTCTACCTCTGCCTCTTTCAGCACAGTAAAAAGAGCACATGAACTCTTGAGTAATAACACCCTACACAGGTATGTTTACCCAGTCCTTGCTACTGGGTTATTTCTTGAATGGCTACTTTTTTTTCCCTCCTTACTTTTCTACATGTTTATGCCCAACAATGCTATCTGGTTTTTTCTTTCTTTCTTTTTTTGAGACAGAGTCTCACTTTGTCACCCATGCTGGAGTGCAGTGGTGCGACCTCAGCTCACTGTAACCTCCACCTCCCAGGTCCAAGTGATTCTTGTGCCTCAGCTTCCCAAGAAGCTGGGATCACAGGCATGTGCCACCATGCCCCGCTAATTTTTGTATTTTTAGTAGAGACAGGGTTTCGCTATGTTGGCCAGGTTGGTCCCAAACTCCTGGTCTCAGGTGATCTGCCCGCCTCAGCCTCCCAAAGTGCTGGGATTACAGGCGTGAGTCACAGCGCCTGGACAGAAAATTAGAACCATGTTTCTACCTGGTTTTGGACTAATCATTTTGTTTATTTTTCTTAGAGATGGAGTCTTGCTCTGTCACTGGGCTGGAGTGCAGTGGGGCAATCATAGCTCACTGCAGCCTCAAACTCCTGAGTTCCAGAGATCCTCCCATCTCAGCCAACTGAGTAGCTGGAACTACAGGTATGCGCCACCGCGCCCAGCTAATTTTTATATGTATTTTTAAAAAATGGGGTCTTGCTATGTTACCCACGTTGGTCTTGGACTCCTGGCTTCAAGCAATCCTCCTGCCTCAGCCTCCCAAAATGCTGGAATAACATGCATGAGCTACTGCGCCCAGCTGCTGTCTGGTTTTGAATAAATAATACAAGACGGCAAAGGCATGGCTTTCATCAGTTTTATCCCATATCCAGCCCATTAGCAATACATATATATTGTGAAATGTATGCTTTTCTGAAATTCAGGCACTGCTAAAAAGAAAGGGAGACTTTAAATCTAAAGCTGCCCTCCCCAATTCCATTTCCATATATCTTCTAGAATACTTAAATCTTAAGAACGAATATTAACAAGAGGGGTCTGATACTTCTAAAGTCTGTAGTCTTAATTTTTCTCTAGAATCTAGATCATGAAAAAAAATAATAGTTACCATGTATTAAAATGCTTACCATGTGCCAGTTCTATTCTAAATCACTACACTATTCCGCGATGTCATAAACTTTCTGAAACAGATGTAAAACTGAGGCACAGGGCAACTGGGTAATTTGCCTGATGTTGTAAGACCAGGTAGAGACAGAAGTTAGGCTCCAAAGATATGCTCTTTACCCATACAGCATCCAAATGCCCTAAATTAAAATGCTGTAGCTAAAATTTTACATGTGGAACAGGTCTGGGCAGAAGGAAGGGGATGTTCGTCTAAAATAACAAAGGTAAGGTAAAATCATTCTTTCTCCCTTTGACCTTGCATATGATCCTTTCTGATCAAGGCTGGGAGGTAAGAAAGGTTCTAGTGGTTAAGGAAATGATGTTCCAAATAGCAGAAAGGGGTATGCTGGGACCCAAAATAGAGGGGGAAATGAAAGACAATTTCTGGCTTTCTCAGCCTTTTTCCTGAGACCACTCCTGTTTCACATGACTCTACTAGTTAAGGAGGTAAGAATGTATCCATAATCTGAACCAGGGCACCTGCTGCTGATAGACTCCTATTGTCTACAAGAGAAACTACAAGCTCTTAGCTGGGCAGTGAGGGCCCCTCACAACCAGAGGGACCAAGCAGAGCCACTCCCTGCTCTGCATTCACTCCATACTCTTTCATGCCTTCGAGTAACCCCTGCAAATGCATTTCACTTCCAGCAAGCTGCAGGACACCGGTCAAGTGCCAATTTCTCTAATCGCCTTCCCCAATCCACCCCTTTCATGGTTCATGAATGCATTTCCACAGCACGCAGCTCACATCTCTGCCATGGTGCCAATCACTCTGTCCAGTAATTACCTTCCTGACTGCACTGTGGATTCCTCAAGGGCAGAGATCTTGCTTTCTTTTAGTGTGTGCCTGGTGCTTATGTGTTTGCTGAATAAATGAATGAATGCATTCAATGTAGGCATGATACATTCATGTAAGTCTTAATCAGGTTAAAAGTTTAGAATTTTAAAATTATACAGAGTATTTTCCAAGCTTAGAGCTTCCATATACCCAGAAGAAATGCGAGTCATCCACAAGCATAAATTTAAGAAATTAATTTTTGCCCTCAAATACTTCTATTAATATGCAATAAAATTACTGTATTATTTAAGCATTTTAAAGAAGGAAAATATTGAGTAAAAATATTCCAGCCAGGCATAGTGGCTCAAACCTGTAATCCCACCACTTTGGGAGGACGAAGCAGGTGGATCACTTGAGGTCAGGAGTCCAAGACCAGCCTGGCCAACATGATAAAACCCTGACTCTACCAAAAATACAAAAATTAGTCGGGTGTGGTGGTGCATGCCTGTAATCCCAGCTACTTGGGAGGCAGAGGCAGGAGAATCACTTGAACCCAGGAGGCGGAGGTTGCAGTGAGCCGAGATCATGCCACTGCACTTCCTCCTGGGCGACAGAGAAAGACACCCTGTCTAAAACAACAACAACAACAAAAAACCCTTAATATTCCAAAAGTTTATCATAGTGGAAAAAGTTACTGAAAAGTGACCTAAATAGTATTCTATTTCCTGAGCCTCCATAAACAAATTATTTGCAAAATATGTCTTAATAAAATGTCACTCTGGTAACTAAAATAAGTTCAGAAACTGATGTTTTCCCTCCAATAGTCTTATTTATTAAACTTATAAAATACCTGGAAAGCAGTGAAAAGTATTCCTTTTTTGGGGGGGATGGAGTCTCACTCTGTAGCCCAGGCTGGAATACAGTGGCACGATCTTGGCTTACTGCAACCTCCGCTTCCCAGGTTCAAGCGATTCTCCTGCCTCAGCCTCCGGAGTAGCTGGGATTTACAGGCGCATGCCACCACACCTGGCTAATGTTTTGTATTTTTAGGAGAGACGGGGTTTCACCGTGTTGCCCAGGCTGGTTTCAAACTCCTGAGCTCAGGCAATCCACCCACCTCAGCCTCCCAAAGTGTTGGGATTACAGGCATGAGTCACCTGCCTGGCCAATTTTTTTTTATCTTGTAAAAAAACCAACCTGTAACTTAGACTTATAAAATAGGTGGTGATGCTGTATATTCCAGGAGAAGTTCCCTCTCTCCTAGCCATTAGACCACCTGGATTATTGGACATAATTCAGCACTCTAGACTCACTACACATAACAGACCCTAATACAGCTGCAGGAAACATATAAAAAAGAGGCCTACTTCGTCTTTGATAGCTGATTTATAGAAGTTAAAATACAATCATGTTTAAGAAATAGCTGGTATCATATCGTACTATGGAATGCTCTATTCCAGGCTGTTTCACCTTTGTGTGTGTGTGGTGTTGGTTTTGGGGGTGGGGGGGGTGAGACGGGGAGGCACTGCCACATGAACACTCCTTTAAAAACTCTGAGCCACCCAGGGCCAGGTAATGGTGGATCACGCCTGTAATCCAAGCACTTGGGCGACCGCGCGCAGCGGTCCGATCACGCCTGAGGTTCAGGAGTCTGTTGCAGACCCAGCCTGGCCACACGGTAAACCTCATCCTCTACTAAAAAACGTACAAAAAATCGCCGCGCCCGGCGCATCGGGGGCACATGCCCTGAAATCCAGCTACTGAGGAAGCGAAAACGAAGATTTGAATCCAGGAGGCAGAGGTTGCAGTGAGCCGGGATTGCGCCACTGCACTCCAGCTGGGCAACAGAGTAAGACTCCAACTTTAAAAAAATAAAAAAATATGAGCATGGAGTTTTGGGTATTATGGCAATATGGCATATAATTTCAAGGAATATCATGG